TTTTCTCAAGCTCTTTCAGAGTCTTAGTGAGATGTATGTCAACAAAACTGTAAAACTAGCAATTTGGAATAAGAGTTAATAGTTTTAATACGCAAGGGCATAATTCATCCTTGACTGATCAAATAATCACTTAGACGGTTATACCACTTCCGTCAGATTGTAAGTGAACACCTCAAACAAGTTAAGAGGGTGTTTCGTGGTTTTGGAACTATTTGAACCAGTCCATGTAATTATTCGGGAACTTACATGTAAATTTCCGTATCTATATCCCCATGGAGAAAACACTAACCATATTTCATAATGTTGCTATTAATCACATGACGTTTAAGAGAAACCTTGCGTCGTAAGGCGTGCATCATATCACACTATTTCATTCATCTCATAATGCTTCATTTCCCACTTGTAACACAACGGGTTTACCTTGGGCAGTGTAGGAACGACAGGTCCAATACACACTTTGGTAAGGAATTTGACCTGGATTGTAATTTGGTTGTCTAATCAGTTCTACGTTGTCACTTAATCAACGGAACACAGTTCGATATCGTTGTTTTTCATTTATGTTGGTAGCTACCATATAAGTGAAAACATCATCGATGATAACTCATTTCAATTCCATTTAACTTATCCAAACTAGTATATTGGACTAAGAACTTTAAGTCTCGGGAAAACTCCGAATTAATATCATGAAATGGAAATTATTTGAGACAGCGATCAAGTGTAGATTCATTTTATGTCGTGCCTTCCTCTTTTAGGGAAGTGAATCCTACGAACCGAGTGATACGTCATGCTCTTGGCCAAGACAGATTGATTGGCTATCCACCGGTGTACCGGACTATCCAACAATGGCGTCAAAACCATCTAACAGGGGCAACACACCCTCTAGGGATGTTGACTTGACGTCCGTTAAGTACGTTTATCCTTATAGGCATGTTTGCAGCTGGTCCAATATAGTGGTATGGGGATCGAGAGGAATGCATCTGGAGCAACATTCTGAAATCTAGAATTCATCGCACTTGCTTATCATACTTGTGCAGTATGGGGATCGAGATGAGACATAATGGGCAATGTCCACGTAAATTTGCACCGTTCTCCAGGAACGTTAACATTCTTATCTCCTCCTAACAGCGGGAAAACTGTCTCGTTAAAGTGACAACCCCCAAATGAACGGTAAAGAGATCGCGTGCAAGGGCTCAAAGAGAGCTAGTGTGAAGGTGAATCATGATCGACAAAAGATACACATCCTTCGTTGAGGACCCATATTGGTAAGTTGCGATGGCGCAACTTGGCACATGGAATGCGCACCCAAATGCGTAAATACGAAAATCGTCAGGTTCGTACCCAGTAACTAAATGTAACGTCATATAGGTTGGGTGGCAATGGGCCTTAAGGTGGACCAACATAGTTGGGTACAAGATTGCATAGCCCTAGGCAAAAACCGAAAAAGCTTGGTACGTTCACCAAGGTCCGGGCGATCATTTAATTTGCGCTTTATGATCACTAGGTGAGGCTATTTGGGGTGAACATGGGAATTCGATGTTCAATTATTAACCCAAAATACATGCAATACTTTGTAAAAAACCGTCAATATAAACTCTCCGCATTATCAAGTCTCCAGGACCTTAAGGGATAAGTAGGGCGGTGAACCCTTCATCGGCCATGAGGTTTAGCAGCAATATGTGTGGACAAACATGTGACCAGTTTGTCGATTCATCAACCAAAACCATAAGTATTTATATGGTCCGCATTTTGGTTGGATTAGTCCACATATATTCTCTTGAATCCACTATGAAAAGAGAGTCGTTTTGTATCTTTGCTAGGAATGATATAAAAATCAAATTTTCCAAATGAGCGGGCTTTGGCAAGTGTGCTTGTAGGCACAAGATCCTTACTTTGGGTAAGGAGATGCGTCGTAGCATCATTGTTCGATCTAAATATCCCCAATGGTCATGCCAAAGCAAGTAAACTGCTCAATCACCAGGCTCCAGGCCAGCCACATGTGGTGTATTCCCAGTTGGGGGGCAACCCATTGGCCCCAAATCAAAGCTTCATGCTTATTTTTAGAGATGGTGCAAAGATATTTCACTCTTATTTCTTCAGTGGTTTCATTGATGATCATTGTTCTCTCGAATATCCTTAAAACCTCAACGATAGGGAGAATTTAAGGTCTCTTAAATGTTAAGTCAGTACCATTCATACAACGAGGAGCGTGCCAAATGCTCTTAATCAGGTTGGATAGACCTGGAGTCATTGTTAGAGATGTTATTTAGGTGTAAAGTTAGTGTGCGTAATACGCATTCATCTAGACAACTAACTTTCCCACATTCCTACCTAATCACGTGTTTAATTGAATTGGGTCACATGTATTAAGAAACATGATTAAATTAACTCATATTCGAGGACAATATTAATAAGATTATCCATAAGTAAAACATACACCAAACTTGAATCCAAGAACAAGGAAAAATGTTCACAAAGTAAACCAAAGTTACTAGGGTGGATTCGGCCAACAAGGCCATTCATGTCAAAATTTTGCTCTTCCAACGATGAAGCAAAATTAATCTCACATATTAACTAACAAAATCGTACTCCTCAACAACATTGGTAGGGGCACAAACAGGTGCATAACCAATAATCTATTCCATCAAGACGGAAGTAGATTCTACAGGGTTAAGGTTCAAGAATATTATCCCTTATTCTTGAAGTTTTAGGTCTTAGGTACCAAGGATCATGCTTCGGGCATGATGCCACACCTTGGCAAGCCCTGATTCTACCATATGTTTGGTAGTAATCAGATTCAAAAATTTGGTAAACTTTTGCTTTCTACACTGTTGCTTCAAGAATGAGTTTGAAACATAGAAGGACGAGAAAAGTATTCTCTAGTCAAAATTTGATCAGATTTATAAACTTCAGAATTGTACTCATTCATGGATGTAATCATGGTGTGCTTCAGGCAATGTCTTTCATGATTAGACAGTCAATAGGAGTGAGCCAAAGAGCCATGGAATCATCGTTCATGAGGTACGCCTATTTGTCATGCTTTGGGTATAAGTCTTCGAATGAAGATCATGGCGGAGGCTTATTCAGCTCTTCCTTGCCATTGTTGGCTTCAATGGTTTCTCAACTACTTGATAGTCAAGTGGAGATTCATGTCTTGTACCCCACATAAAGTGGTTTCTATTATAAACATCCAAATAAGGGAAATCGAACTTGTGACGGTTCGACAATCCACTGAATTGGAGGGAACAAGATTGTAATTGGTGTTATGGGAATGAATGATCCATAAGCATCAAAGTTAGAACATTCGAGTTCTAAAACATGGTTTTCATGAAAAACGTCAGGTTTTCATGGGTGTATTGTTTTATGAAAACTTCAGGTTTCAAAGGCACTAAATTTGAAAATACAGGTTCAATTAAGTATAGTGGATTTGAGGTTCTTAAGGAACTCAAGTGTGAGAGCTTCAGGGTCGATCGTAGAAGCAAAATAATGACTTCGGGTCATATTCATTTTAGATGGCTTTGGGCCAAATAATTAAGAAAATATAACCTAGTGTGGCTTTAACTAAAAACGTCCAAAAAATATTGGGGTATGGATAAGAAGCGGGGGATGTCAAAATATGGCGTCGGGTCGAGAAAAAAAAATGATGCAACCTAGCATGTGTGGGTTGGGTGCAACACACGACCTTGCAAAGAAAATTGAAGGCCATTGGGCTTGGGGACACGACTGCCAAAAAGCCCAGTCTACTGCAAGGTAAGTTGCAGTATTTGGACCGAATGTATGGGGAAAAAACAGCAGCGCATAGGCTTTTGGAGGCAGGCCTAAAGTGCGGGAGGGCCGAGTTGACAAGCGCAATAATGTTGGCTTGGTGGACCGAGTGGGCATGACAAGCCCAGCAGCGCAGGCTTGTGAGAAATAGGCCCCAAAGATGTTATTATACGGCTTGGAGGGGCTGTTGGCCCATGCAAATTTCAAACCCAAGCACATGCCTGGTTCTCACATGCAACAAGCCCAAAAGTTGCTGCCTCACGAGTCCAATGCCTAAGCCTTGGGATGTAGGCTTGGTTAGGTTGGCGTTGCTACAGGCCATGGCTTAGAAAATTTTTCCCAAAATTTAATTGTTTGTTTTTCTTCAAAATTCCTAGGGTTTGAAAAACCCTAATTGCTTATAATTTCTTTCGATTCTTTGACTCACAAATTCCACATAGCATAAATTGCGTAATGCATGAACAAATATATGAACATATACAATATATAAATATATCGGAAGGAAAATATAAACATAGGAGGGTTCATGCATCATGGGGAATGTTTTCATGCTTCAAAGTCGATTCAAATATCTTACTTTATTTTAAGTGTACTTGATTGGCAGAAAACAATAAAAGCCTTTGAATTTGTAGAGGTTCCTTCTCAGAAAGCTAGAATTGCATCTCCAATGCATTGTATCATGTTCAACACAGAAAAATTAAATTGAAGCAATAGCATGTAGATCAATTCAATAACATAGTAAATTAATCATAAAAATAATGATTAAAACGTAATACTCTCCTGATTGAAGATCAAACTCTCTTTAGCACAGCGTCAAGAGTGTACTGATAACGTGTGTGTTATTCTACCCGTTGTGCTTTTATTTATAGTAGTAAGGAAGGTTAATTCCTTACCCTTTTAGAATTACAACTCTAATAGGATATTAACTACTAAAGGGAATATAGAAGATGTCCCTAGATATGTTAAGATTTACACAATCACATTCCTATTCCAATAGGACTGCAACAAGAAGTTCTAAATTGGAAATTTTCACCACATTAATCGAAAAACTAAATTTTTTAAACCAAATGATGTGATTGTAGATGATTCGATTATTGATTAAATATCGATTAATATACTTGTTTCTTATTAATAACACATCATTTGGTTTACAATTTAATTTAAAAAATTTAGTTCCATCCTTATGTGTAAGCCCAATAGTTCATCTGCCCACAATCTGTTGAGGTCCCAAAAAACCCAAAACAAGCCCACTTAAACATTTCAGTCCAACATCGCAACACACACCGAATTCTGCAGAACGAAGCAAAACAAGGTGCTTTATTGTCATCGGCCAGAGGGACTCAGATGCAGGAGGAGGAGGAGACTCCGGACAATGGAAGCGGCGGTAGCGCTGGGTCACACACCCACTTGTGGTGGGCCGGGGCCAGTGCGGCTCAGCTGGGTTGGGCCGTTATGTCATCCCGGAAAGGCTGCGCCGGTAACTCCTTTACGATGCCTTTCAAGGCCTTCGCCGTTGCTTCCCTCTACGTCGGCTCTGTGGCCACCGCCGGCGTCGCTGGCCTCCATGCCTCTGGCATCCGCGAGGTTATCTTCCCATTTCTCTATCTCAGCTTCCCAGGGGTATATCAGTCATTTTATGGAAATTCTTCATTGGGGGAGCATTGCAATTTACTACATTGATTGTATTGCTTGTGTAATTTGTAATTACAATTACGGTCTCCACATGAATCATGATTATATGGTAGTTTATATTTATATTTCTGCTGCTTTTTTAACATCAAGATCATATGCTCCTCATTCATCAGAATTTCATTTGTTAAATTCAGTAATATAAATATATCTTATGTGTGTGTATAGATATAGTGAAGCAAAGTACTCTCCTTTACTAAATAAAACAATGAAAATTGTAATGTTCAGTTTATGTTGAACTAGTGAAGGACTAGTTTTACTGGTCAAGGGAGGAACCGAAAACTGAGTGAATGATGTGTTGTTGAGGTCTCTTGGGAAGGAAGGACAGTTTGGTGGAGAAAGGAGTAAAGTGAATTTCTTTTGTTTAGGTGTCATTTGGGGCATTGGGTGTGAATCAAATTTTAGACCTATGCGGGTGGTTGAGTGGCTTTCGGTTCCTTTTTATCTGTTTTGATCTTTTGGGTTTGGATTCTTAGCATTTTTTGGTAGTTTTCTTGGGTTTTTCTTGTATACTTCTCATTTATTATGACTGTGCGAACCCCGTCTGGTGCTCGTATGATTATAAGAGAATTCTTCCTCCAGTTCCCTTAATCCGAAATCATGTTTTACTCGGCAAGTTTTGTTGCCGAATTTCATTGGCTTATGTTATTGGTTTTGTTGAGTAGATCCTTATATACTGCTTTCCCCAGTTTCTCTTTCAAACCTCGTGACTCTTCGAGCTGCATAATGACCCAGTTTAAGGCCCTGTAAGTTCCCGAAGTTACTCTTCACTCTTAAAATTCTTTCAAACCTGTACCTCAATAAAAACCCTGGTTTCCTGAGCAGACTAGCTACCAGAGTGGAACAACTTGTGAGGTTTGCTATCTAGATTGTTCAGTCCTTGTTCTATCTGCAATTCTTTGTACCCTGGTTCTTCTTGAAAACATGAACATTAATTGCCGTTCAAGTCACCTCATTTTCTAATGTTAGACCCAGTTACTCCTCACTTTAAAATTCCTTCAACCGTCTACCTGAACAGAATCATAAATTTCCTGGTTGCAAACTAGATACGAATAGTGGACCAACTTCTCAGGTTACATGTGTAGATAGTTGAAGTTCAATTCATCTTCTATCTGCAACTTGTTGTATCTTTCCAAAATATGAACAGAACTTAAGGTGTCCTAAAGGAATTGAGATACCACCTTTCCAAAATCGTAATTAAGTTGTTGCTTACTGTCTAATATAGATGGGAGATTTAAGCACACATGTCAAGGGACTTAATTTAGATGTATGGTTGCTTTGTTCTTAGTTTATCATAGATCATATGTGTTTGGGGGCTTGCGATGTGTTTGGGGGCTTGCGATGTGTTCGGACCCTCTAGTGTTGTGCATATTCTATTTCGGTAATGATTGGGGTGTTATTTACAGAAAGATTGATTTATTGGCATATCTTATTTGATCGGTTAATTGAGCAAGACAAGTAGACGACAATAGTCAATATTGTTCTACCTCGCATATACATGTACTCACACAGCTGCACCCTGTGTTACAGGTGGAGGATCTAGTAGAGCTGGGTGCCAACATAAGAACTGGACTTGGGGTACCCCGGAGGAGGTCGAGGGAGGAATAACCTTTCAGTTTTAGGTTTCGAAATGCAGTTTTTATCGTATAAAACCCACACTTGGGTTGGATTTGCATCTTTGTGCATTTTGATTTGACTTGATTACTGATCGAGAAGTATTTATCGTCTCATGAGTCCATCACTGTCACTTGTCTATTTACGGTGCATTTACAAAGGAGGTGTAATTTGAGAGTTGTAGGTGTATTTAAGCAAATGTCATTTGCTTCCTCGGCGTTTAGAGGAACTTAGCTTCTCTTATCAGACAGTGAAGGGAACAAGTGGAAGGAAAGAAATGAAAATGTTGCAAATCGCGAATTACAGGTTTAAGAGGATGATTACTTGATTGACAAGTAAACAGATGAAACACCGGTGGTTGCGTGAGCCAATTATGTAAAGATTGTCCAACAAGATTCCATGTAAGAGCGAGGCGGCTGCCGAAGCAAAAGATGCCTTACAAACCAAAGGTTGATGGTATTCTTGAATATATTTTGGTAAGTTCCAATATTGTCCTCTGTCCGTTCTAGCCTGCATTCCCTTATCCTATCAGCTTAAACTATCATCTTGTTTCACTCTGGGAATCAGACCGTCTGATTCAAGGTTCTGAACAAACAACTTGTTATTCACTAAAATTGTTGATAAATAAAGGAGCCGGATTTGGTTGAATTGGTAATTTCGTAATTTACTCTTCCGCTGAGAAAATAAAGATGAGAAAGCACAGTAAAATAAGGGCAATTTCGCCAACGTGCTTATAAACAATGTTTTTTCCATTGCGCTTTAGCATACATAATTTGAAATAGATTAGGCCACTCTGCCATGGTCTTGAGCAATTTTTTTTCTTTATTTTTTAATGGATTAATACTTCCGTGAATTAAAATTCACAAGTATCGTGTTTTCATTGTACTCAGGGATGTATTTCAGTTCAATGTTGATAAGCTTTTGGCAGATTTATACATCATGCTACACTAACAGATTGAGAAGGATAAAACGCGAGATACAGTGATTCGAAAAAAGAGGTCCAATCAACAGGCGAAGCACTTTACTTCTTTAGTTTAGAATATGGGAAGCATATGTAAACTATCAACATATGTTTAATTTTCTAGAAAGAAAAAAAGTTCATAAAGAAATTCACGTAAATTCTGTAAAATAGACAAAAGATGATTCTAGACTCGTATTTTCACACAGCATGTTTTGAATTCGTTTACTCACGTTGGGGAATCACATAATTGAAGGTAACGAGAAGCTAAAATGTATGTGAGGCTTCTCAATCCTTAGAATGATGGACTAACGTGGCCACTTGCTGATCCCCTTTAAAAAAAAAAATCAACAACAAAGGCGGGAAATTGGAATAAAAAATAAACTATGTGCCACATGTTCAGGGCCACTTTTGTAATTCCACGCAGATGATTTTGAAACGGAGAAAAAAGTGCGCATGTGGGCTCGTTAGTGGGGGGATGACACCGGAAGGAAGTAACCACCTTAACCGCCACTACACAAAACGATAAAAAAAAAAAATTACAAAGTGTTGCACAACTCAGAGAAGAACCAAAAAAACCCAGAAAACATTCCCCCCAAAAAGTAAAAAGTTACTTCTTCTCTGCGTGTGAGGTAATTAATTGTGAATGGAAGGTAAAAAAGAAGAGGGTATAAGGAAAGGACCATGGAAGGCAGAGGAAGACGAAGTGCTATTGAACCATGTGAAGAAATGTGGACCAAGAGACTGGAGCTCCATTCGATCCAAGGGCCTCTTGCAGCGAACCGGAAAGTCTTGCCGGCTCCGTTGGGTCAATAAGCTCCGACCCAACTTGAAGAAGTAACCCAATTTACCATCCGCCATTTCACTGTCTCTTGTGTTTTCACTTGTTTTTCGTTGGCACTTTGGTTTCATGAACTTGATGATTGATAAATTGATAATTTGATCAGGATCTTAGAAATGGGTTACTGGGTTTCGTTGGTATTTAAGATTTAAGAAATGGGTTGTTGGTGGGTTTTGTAACTAATTAAAGTTTAAGAAATAGGTTTTGCTGCTAGTTAAGATTTAACAAACGGGTTGCTGGGTTTTGTTGCTAATTAAGATTAAGAAAATGGGTTGTTAGCAAGTCTAGTGGTGGATTACTTGGTGGTTTAGAGTATTTCGCTTCTTGTAACTTCATTCCTCGTTTGAACACTCCTCCTTCCCTTATTCTAGTTTAGAGTAGAAATATGGTCTGTGATAAACAAAGAAATGGTTGTTGGGTTTCGTTAGGTTCGAATTCGTAGATGACGAATTCGATACTAAATTAAGTTGCCTATTATGTGACTTAGTCACTCCCTCTTTCCCTTAGTGTAAAATATAACGTTGTACTCAACAACAAAAAATTGAGATTTACGAAACAAGTTATTGTTTTTTTTTTTCTTAATTGAGAAAAAGAAATGGGTTGTGGGGTTTTGTTACTAATTGTGGCTGGAATCTCTGTTTTTTTTCAGTGGGTGCAAATTTTCAGTGGAGGAGGAGAGGGTGGTGATAGAGTTGCAGGCACAATTTGGGAACAAATGGGCAAGAATAGCGACCTATTTGCCGGGGAGGACGGACAACGACGTCAAGAATTTTTGGAGCAGCAGGCAGAGAGGCTGGCTAGGATTCTACAGACACCAACAGCAATCACGTTCTCCTCCAAATCACATAAAACCAGAAGGGAAGTCTCTGTTTTTCATGAGCTTCCCACTTTACAGGCAATTTACCTTTTCTTCTTTAAAAAGAACTTGTACATGAGGATACGATGCAGGATAGTGGGCCCTGTTAAAATTTTGTCGGAAATTTAAACTTAGTCAAAGGAAAAAGAGGACCCCACACTTTTACAAGGTTACAAAATGGTACCATCCTCTAATAGTAGTGTAGTTACGCTCCAATAACTGTTGTTTATTAGATGACAGGTCCTTTTCTTCTTTTGCTTCAGGCTCCAAAATTCAATTGCTCATCAGAGGGCGAACCATCGTCACAGGCTCCGTCATGCTCGTCACCGCCACCTTACATTCGGAACTCTGAGATCATCAAAATGGTGCCGCTGCCGGATATTGTTAAGCCCGAGTCTATTTGCTTCAAAACAAACCCTGTTCAACATGAGCTCACCATAACTGATAAGGATCCATGGAATGAGTCCCAGTCTGTAATACCTTTCCTGCAGAACCCACAGCCCCAAACAGACCTATTCTCATCCGAAACCCAAGAACTCTTGGCAAGGTTCGACCCCTATTTCGACATGTTAGTACCTCTGGATGCTTCGGAGCTTGGAAATGGAGAACCACTTCCCATGGAACCTCCATTGTTTGAACCAGTAGGAAGCTGTGTAAGCTGTGAAAGGGAACAAATCGACCATACCATGGCTCCGGATTGTCTGTTCGATGACTTCCCGACAGACATGTTTGATCAACTTGACCCACTTCCGAACATATCAGGGCAGCATTGACTGACAATAACCTTCTACCTCTTCTATAACTTTTGTATTGGTAATTTTTGTTACTGGCATTCTTTGTACTAGACACTGACCTACTTCTAGTAGCTAGTAGAGTTTTTGCCTGCTTAATTCTTGATTCACGAATCAGCTTTCATTCAGTTTTCTTTTTTTATCTCGTTCAAATCGAAAACCTTTTGAAAGAAAAGTCAAGAGTTGGACTAAAATTAACAGCAATAGAATCAGATCAATAATCTAGTAGCAATGAAATCACTAATGATATTTCAATTCAATTTCTTTTGTCAGTGTTTAAACCGGAATTTGATCATTCTGGTTCTGATACAAAGGAAGCTGTGGTTTTTGTTCCTTTCTAACCGGACCCTTCATGGTCTAGCAGCAAATACATGGGAATCTGAAGTTGCGAAAACAAGTAAAGAAAACTATTGTCTGATCAATATGTAAATCCAGTGAATCCCAGAATGATCTCTCCAGTAACAGGAATATTGGCGTAAAAATGCAGTCAAGTGTGCTAAAAAGAAGGCGATTATTACGCTGTTGTCTTGTACTCTGATATTCAGTGTCAATCATCTGTTCCTGAGGTTAGGAGTGAGTAACTTACCCCAGTCCGGCCACGATTTCCGATTACCTCAAACTTTCCTGCAGCTGATGACTGGTCTTTGATGGGCCTTCTTAGTTCTAAATATGCACAGTATTCTACTTCGTATACTGTTGCGCCCTCCAGGAATGCGGAAACTGAAGAACCAACTCCTTCACCTGCACAAAGATGCTTTCTCTTATATTTGAAGGTTGTGTAGCCTTTTGGAGGCAGAAAATGAAAGTTGACGACGTTTAAAAATACAACCAAAAACATGTCAAAAATACGAAACAGAAAATGAAAGTCCGAGAAAGTTTCGAACCAGACATGAAGCCTACCATGAGTGACAAGGAGCAAGTTTTCTGCAGGGTATTTATCAGCAAGGGCCTCAATGACCTGAGCATATCTAGCACGCGCACCAGTCACGCTCTCTCCCCAATGGGGCAACTGAGTTTAATCACAGGAACAGGTTCCATCATGAAAAATACTAATCATTCTACGTTCATATACGCACAAATGTGCACCGAGAGATTCTCACTTACATCTTTGTACACTCGTTTCGCAGTTTGATCAACTGTCCCAGCCGGGAACATAGCCTCAAGATCTGGTATGTTGAAATCCCATTGCTCATCTTTCGGAGCCAAATCACCGTGAATCGCCTCTTTGTTTAGCATCTCGCATAACCCATATTCAATTGAGACCTGCAAAATGGGAACAACAGATTGCGGCCCCGTTTGGGATTGAGGTGATTTTAAAAAAAGCCACTGTGAAAAAAAGCTGAGGGTCATTTTTGTGTTTGGTAAACTGAAAAAAAAAAGCTTATTTTGGAAGCTGCTGTGAGAATAAGCTGAAAATCAAAGGAAAAGCTGAAGCTGCTATTTGTTGCTTTGAAAAAAAGCCAGTTTTTTCAAAGCACACGGAGCTACAGTGCTCCTTTAATGAAAAGACACACTATCATCCTGCTTTTTTTTCCAAAAGCACTTTCACAAAAAAGTTTACCAAATACTCTACTGGCTTTATTTCACAGCCGCTTATTCTCACAGCACAGCCGCTTATTCTCACAGCAGCTTTTTTTCAAAGCACAGCAATACCAAACCAGCCCTGCATCCTACAATATCATTACCATTCGAGAGCTTTCTTTGCATCCTACAACATGAATCCCAAGATTAAATACAATCGAGCTATTTCTTAGTATGTTATATTGTCAGACAGTGAATCAAAACTTCTAACTGCGCAAATTTGTTGACAAGGACAATATAACATGTCAGATATCTACTCTAATTGTCAATAATATTTACCGTGAA